CAGTTCTGTGTCTGCCATTTGTGGTGAAGAAGTGTCAGGTTGCATCACTATTGCTGTATTTACAGTTTGTCCTGTAGTCGCTGCTACTGTGCTGGGTAGTGTAATAGTTCTACTGCAATCTGAATGTTCAACAGCGTTTTCGTTTGCAACAGACAGTCCATCAGCAATATTGGTAAGAGGTATTTCAATAGGATTCTTGATATTAGACACATCGGGTTCAATAGACTCATTCTCATTTTCGGTTGTAGGTTCTGGCCTGTCTGTTAGAGTAGATGGCATTTAATCACTGTCATCAAATATATGCCGTTTGGATGGCCATATGCCAGTGGCATCCTTTTTTAATATGCCGCTGCAACGTGGAAAAGTTTATACCGTACTTCTTAGCTGCAGCATTCACTGAGCTTTTGCTAGCTTCTTCCATAGCAAGTTTCATTACGTTCTCATCACACGATGCGTTAGAAGTTTTTCTTTTATATTTGTTAGCCATCTACAATATAAAAAACAAAATAAGCAATTAAAACTTTATCGCAACCAGCTAAATTACCTACACGTTTATACCAGGGCAAATCGGGTTTATACCCGTTTTACCCCTACCCGTTTTGCCCAAAAGCACATTTTTTATTTTGCAAGGCCATAACCTCAAAACAAAATGCAGAAAACTCACGAGTTTTCGAAATTTAGAGGCACATTACTTATAAAATCATCACACAAAACTTAGGTAAATATATTCTACACAATATTTGAGTAGTCAGAGCTAGCATACTTCTATTTTTTTTAGTAAAATCAGCGAAAAAATTTTTTTTTGTCATACCTTGCAAGCGCTTGCTTCACAGCGATGAGCTGACTGCCTGTGATTCGTCGACAGTCACGCCACCTGTCCGCACTCACATATTCTCACTAATAGTCGTAATATGCTCACTAGCAAGCCTACCCGTTTTAGGCGGGCTACCCGTTTTAGGCTCACCTCCCCTATGTTAAAGAATGCTACATTTAAGCATTTAAACAAATTAGAATAAGACGCAAAACCGAAAATAATATACCTAATGTATAATCTATGTTCATTGAAAATTTTGTACAAACCAACACATTATTCAGATTGTACAAGTTACGTAAATTAATTTTATGTACAGATGTAAAATCAAGAATATTAGTTAAAATTTTGTCATGTTCAGTTTGCATAGAGATTTGTAAACCCATCCATTATTTATCATGCTACCCCCTTGTATTTGTAGGTTCTTTTTGACCTAAGATGAAATGCTGAGAATCTGATTTCAGATGAGAGAGTTAAAAAACATATTTATGTGAATTGATGGAACCAATACCAGTATTGATGTAATATGTATTCAAAATTATGAGATTAAATTACTACTTTATGGTCCCATACAAACTTGACCCCATGTTAGTTTTTCAGTAAACTAATACCCTCTATGAACTGTTAAAGGATCATTTATCGTTTTAGCTTAAAAGAAGAATGGATGACGTTGATGTAATACTGATTTCTTAATTTTCATGGTATAGCCTTACAGCTATTTTTGGGAAACTCATTTATGTTAAGTATTTACATTAGTTTATTGATTTAGATAATTGAAATAATGTCTTAGAAACGAATTAATAAACTAGACATCAAGTTATGGCTCCGATAGAAACCTTTATTTTGTATGCGGCTAATGCAAATTTCAGGATGAACCATTATTGTTTACGAATTTGTTAGTCCTACTTACGACCTATCTACTAGCAATATATATTTTCATCTTTCTTAATATAGGTAAGAATATATTATGTTGGTATATAGCAAATAAACCGACAAATCATTAATTGACAAGAGTCACGCTCATTTTAATAAATTAACATCTCTGAAATGACGCCATTTGATTGAAACAGAAAGCACAAAAACCAATAGTAGTATTCATATTTGATCGGATAAACAGTCGGTCTAACTTGGAATACTTAGAACCAGTTACAAAAAAATTTTTTTTTTTTAGTACAAATACCAATTTGATAAAAACATACTATTCCAATATTATATTCAGTACAAAACTAGTTTATATATTAATCATGCAAGTTCAATTCTGATTTCAAATATTACTTTAAGCGTCATCATATTCTTTAAATTTATTTTTTTCATCGGTAATAAATGAAATCAAAATGTGTAACAAAACAACATCAACCTTTCAGTATTTTACACATGACGCAAAATGAAAATATCCTTATTTGTAATTGTGTAATGCAATAATCTTCTTAATAAACATTTAAAAAAACTGTAAAATATTATGAAAATGCAATATGTTCACCCGCCTTGGTGGTCTGTTAGTATATAGGTGCACTTGTATGTCAACAATATACTAATATGTATATCAGTATACCTCTTGACATCGGCACTCATTAATTATTTTCTCTTTGTCAGAGGCTCAAGTGTGGGTTTATTTGACATCTACCCGATCGCCGCTCGGTCGCGTACGGCGCTGCGATTGGCCCATACTGAAATCTTCACCACTGGCAACTCCGATTTTTTTAAAACTAATTATACTATCCATGTTTTAAGAATTACACATAAAGAGTTGGTTATTTATATCAAAAAGGACTTAAGTTACAAATTGGGTGTGTTGAATTTTTTCTTCAATATAAAGTTATTTATTGGAAATGTAATTAAATCAAATTATTTATAACCATTGATAAATTTTTGATACTGATTTGAAAATGGTAAATATCAATTTTACTTACTTACTTTGGGGGACTTTACAAACATACATGAAACGGACACAAAGAACACCCAGACTCAGAACCACAATTTGTAGATCTCACTAAGTGTTGTTCCGTGTGGGGATCAAACCTACAACACTCAGCGCTTTAGGAAGCGGCGAGGTGACCGCTTAAACTAGTGGTTTCCATCCATAAATAATAATAAAAATATATATGTAGGGCATGCATGTACTAAATAGTTTTCAAAAAGCTTATTTAATAATATTAATCTTTATTGGTTTTTTACATTGATTTTTTTAACAGAGAGGTCTCCTTTTAAGTATTAAATACTTGTGACAGGGGAGGATATAATAATAGGAAATACTTGTAAAAGTTTGACTTTACAAAATCTGGCACTGGTACAATTTAAAAAAAAAAAGCTAGGAATGAACAGATTCTAGACGTATATCCTACGTCTAAGATACGAAACACTAACGTTTAATTGGACAACGATGCACTTTTTCGGACTTTTCGACGGAATTTTCTTTCTTTAGTCTGCATATAAAAAGCCGTGTACTTTTAGTCAATGTTAGATAATTTTGATTTTGGTATTAAGCTGATATAAATAATATTAGAATCGCCTTATTTCTTCACCTTCCCATGTACTCTATTAACCCTGATCTTAGACAATTTGTACTGAATAAAATCTACTATTTACGAACACAAATTTATAGGTATGTGTTATACCAGTATTTAAAAAATTCATGGTGCACCAAAATTTTATAATATATTAAAAAAAATACAAACAATAATCAGATTGTAGAATAGGATATGTTGCAGTGGGCAAAACAGCAACACCATTGCCGATAAGGACCATTTACGACAAAGCCAAGACGGGTTATTTATTAGTAGTCTCAAGTAATACATTCATAACATGAGGGATATTTTCATAGCCTACCATTTAATTTCAGAACATTCAACACATTCAGAACCATTTTGACCATTAATCAATAAAGAAATCAATCAAAGCATTGATTGATTAAAAAAATCATAGCAATATAATTAATTGCAATTCATATCAATCACAATTAAACATTACTTGCATTTTGCAATCAAATAATTTAGTTCTATTAATTGAAAAATTAAATTAATCACAATTAAACTTTTTAACTGTTTACACAGTTCTAACAAAATTAACAATGAATTGGTCTTGTGCTTATCATACGAGCTGACAAACAAATCTACATTTATCAAAATTAAAAATATACAGTTTACAACATGTAGTTACAATTAACAACTGATTCATTGTTAATGGAAGTTGTTATGATTTACAATTAAAAAGTCAAAATTACAAACTAATCAATTATTAATTGTTTATGTTGAATTGTAATAACAATTTAATTTTGCTCAACACTAAATCAGAAATAATATTATAGAATTGTCCGCACAACGCACAATATACACAAATATTCAAATCCTAAAATACTAGTTGTTATTATCACATATATATCTATCTCTATGAGAACATTGCTGCATTTATTAAAATAAAGTATAAATATAAAACAATATGTTACAAGGTTATTTTAGGCCATGCAAAATCTTTACTGAACAAAAAGATTGGAATTAATAGTCTTTTATAAGAATGGGGTCTTGAATAACCCTAATCATTTCCATGGCCTTATGGATGCTGACTCCGCGTAGTTATCAAGAGTTGAATAGAACATTGCTCTTATAGCAACTTTGTTCTCAGCAGTCTACACTTATGAATCAGCTTTTATTTACATCTTAACTTTACCATTGCCGATTTGTGAAGGCCTCAATCAATTTTGAAGTAATCTTCTCTAGTGAAAATTTAAAACAAATTCTACCCTTATTAAAACCTCCTGCATACATTTCAAACAATGACTTTATAAGAAGACTGAAAATTTACATTACAATGACATTAAAAACCAAAAACTGATAAAAGGTTACTGAAATTCATGAAAATTTGCACAAAACTAAATAATATGATATAGTACATGAGTACCAAAGCTTTTAATTTGTATAATAATATTTGATCATACCATAACAACACTATAAAGCTATAAACCACAGAAATATTACCTTACATTACATTCCTGTACCCACATGAATACTTTTGTCGTATTATGTTCCCTCACAGTGAACAAATATCCCAGATAATGCAGGCTATAATTCAATTCCAATTTCTTAGCAATGGCTCTTTTTAAAAACTACTGTTTTATCATTAATCTTGATCACATACCCAGCCATTCATTGATAACATCATTCAGAATACGTCTTTTGTAATAGTATGCCAATTTCTATTGCTTCTTTTCAGGTTTCTTGACCAAATGAGCATTTATTGGATATTTTAACTCTGTTGTTAGCTGTTCGTTATGTTCTTCTAATGAGTTAACAGCATAATGTAGTACCAGTTCATTCAGAGTTCTGAAAATAAGTGGTAAATTTTAACAAGTTTAATAATTAAAAAATTGTTTTAAGAGTGGCACAATTAGGCTGTTTTTCCACCAAAGCTCCCCGAGGATATTTAGCTGTGCAAGAAGGCGTAGCGAAGCTATGAATGAAACGGTGTGTAGCTGCGCGGTGCGTAGCTGTGAAATCTCTTGACTCACACACATGTCATCTCTAGCACACATTTGTGGTGCCAATCTCTTGCACGCGTCTCTGACTTTTCGTATGCATAAATACCCATGCTGGCCCATTTCCAACAGAGAGCTGCGCTACATGAGGCTAATGAAAATAAGGTAATCCCATTGATGGATTTTTTGATCGTCAGTCGCTACGCCACCTCACGCGTCTTTGGTGGATACGCATCCTAAAACAGGTCCGATGATCATCTATCCGAAATCAATTCGAATACATTGTGCTGTTTGCAATAAACATGTATTGTATCTCTTTTAGTTAGCACATCATTTATTACCTTTTTTTTTAGGCAACACATATTTCTAGTTAGAAAAAATCTAAAATTCTATGTGCATATAATATCAATAATATCTGCCTATTATTTTCATTAGTCTATATTACTAAAAGCAATGAATATTTTTTTTATTATTGGTCTTGATAAAAGTGAAATTGACTGGATGTCAATTAAAGAATAGTTTAACAATTTGGGACCTCAAAATCTTTGTTGTGAACAAAAAAGGGAAACAAAAGTAAAGAAACTTGTACCAGCTTCTTTCCCTTACTTTAGAAAATAATGTCTCATCCAATCTCATAAATACTGGAGTTGCTACAAAATAATAAAAGTTATTGGAGAGTTTATGAAGATACTCACTCATAAACATTATAAGGTTCAGCAAATCCATAACCACGCTCAGTCTTAAATATAATACAATGATACACCATACTGTTACAACAAATTGATAGGGCCAACTGTCCAGTTGAGTTAGGCCGAATTAAAAATGTACCCTGGGGTTTTCCATTTAGAAGTTTTTCTGCCTTTTCTCGAGTGCAATTGACCTTCCAACTAATCATTTCCCTGTGAGCATATAATCCTTCAAGTTTGTCTATGTTATCATCTTCCAAGAGGCGCAAGTACTCATCTGTTTTTCCTCGAGCTTGTAACCATCTGGAAATAATATGTTCAAGATTATTCAAAATTGATAAATAGTTCTCAAGCTTGTTAGTGCATTTAGCCTTTAAGTATTTTGAATTCTGTATCTCAAATTAGTAAATAAATGTTATACAATATATATATACTCATTAAACTAAAGTGTATTACGACAACAAACCACAGGAAAGGCAGGATTCCAAACAGGTTCAAATACAAAAACAGATACCTATACCATTACAATCTATTCTTTAAAAAGACTATAAATAAATATGGGGATAAATACGAAATATTATTATTAAGTTAACAGTGTATGGTGTTTAACAATATAGATTATTTACCTTTTCTATCTACCTACCTACCTAAACTACCGTTGCTATATAACGAAGTGGATTTAGACTTTTGTAAACTGTTAACACGTTAAACGCCATGGGGGTCACCGGTGACCTCACCCTTCCTCTATCATAGCGCCATGGGGGTCACCGGTGACCTCAACGTATAGTCATATTCAAACTACTTTTTCTCGCCGCCGGCCATACTGACTGTTACTTTATTCGTACTCCGTGACCGGCACGGCGCTGTAGAACTATACTGCGCAGTGGGACAAACATACCTTGTAAGGAATTGTGCGCCATGGGGTGCACCGGTGACCTCAGCTATGTATTTGACTGTAACTATGTAACCCATGTACGGAATTGAATAAAACTTATTTTCTATACGTATCGTAACATAATAAACAAATTACGACCAAAAGTATTTTTACGATTTTTATTTTTTTCTATTGGCGTTTATGTTAATATACAGAATATTAAAAAGTATTGTTGTATGTAGATTCAGGGTAAAATTAAACATAAAAAGAGCAGCAATAGCTTTCTTTAGTATTTTCACCATAAATTCGAGCCAGTTACTCACACACATTAATTTTATATATAGGACTATAGTACTTACTATTACATAACTGCTTAAACAATACTTTTTAGATTATGTCAAGTTATTATTATTTCAAATGATGTATATTTTAAAAGTATTACATGATTACTTTAACAATATTGAAATAACTCCTATGTATAACTAGAGAACAAAAATATAATAACTCTTCAGAGGCCTATGTTCAGCAGTGGACTATTAAAGGCTGTTGATGTGATGATGTGATGTGAACTATCCTTGATCTCATCTTTCCATTGTTATTTTGTCTAACTAATGCTTGGATGTAAGAAATTGTTTTTAAGTGATAAGGACACTCCTTTTTATTAAATTTTAACAAGTAAGAAATCAGGTTTATATCTAATATACCAGATGCCTTCCTTGTTAAAATTCTGTTCGTAACTATTATATATATCTATTTCAAACTAAATATTTCAAAATTATTATAAAATACAGCTTGACTGGGGTTTTTTTTATAAATACACAAAATAATAAGATCTACTACTTACATTTTATAGCGATCCTTTAATTTATAGATATCTGTTACATCTGACTTGAGTTTGGCTATTTCTCTCTCAAGAAGAAGTTGAGCTGTTACTGTACTCCTTAAAATATCATTAAGTTCTGATTTGGCTTGTTTTAAACTTTGAACTCTTTGTATTAATTGTCTATTATTCTCTATGACAAGACTTTTTTCATGTGGCTGTGCTTCTTCCTGCATCTTCTCTTGCAATTTCAAATGTTCTTCACATATCTTAACAGTTTCTCTAAAGGCATCCAGTGCTTGTTTCCTCATATGCACTTCTTCCCTTAGCCTAGTGTATTTGTAAGATCTATCTTCAAAATCTGTTGTTTTCAATACATATTTTTTATGGATTTCTTTAAATTTTGTTTCTAATATTTCATCACTCATACTCTCTCCACCTTCATTTTCTTGATGTCTTGACAATGGGTACATAAGCTTAATATCGAGACTGCTATTGCAATGGGCCAGTGAGTATTCTGTATAAAATCTAACCAGATCCACCACGGATTTAAAGTCAAAAGGTTCACAGAACCCATAGTAGCCATCATGGTTATATATTTTTATAAGTTTGTTTAAGCCCCCTTTCCTCACTGTCAGAGTATAACCACTATCTTTATTAGATGCATTTCGCACCAAAAAGGTGCCATCACATGTGTCGCGCAACTTCTCTGTAGCTTCATCTCTGAAAACAGGACAATTATTTTTGAAGATCAAATAAATTATTCCCAAGCTAATATTACCAAGTAATATAATGTAATACTAATGAATTTTCTCAAATTCCCTTAAAAGATGTCTTAGTCATGAAACTTCATTTTTTTTAGTATTACTTCTGATTATTAACTTGTCTCTTTCTTTACTTTCATACAGTTAGCAATAATGTGCTTCTACACAAAGTTAGGATAACTTAAAGTTAGGAAACTTACAAAGGACAAATTATTATGTACTCACCTTGTAATATCACCCCAATACCATTCGGCGTTCTCCAAGCTCTCTTCAGCAGACTGTTGAGGTGCACCTATTTCAACCATTATTCATCATAAGCTCTTAAAGCTTCTGCATAATGAGCTACTTCACTGTGTTTATATATGAAAGCGTGTAGATTTGTAGACACTAAACTACATCTGCCGATAGCACTTAATCGAGGCGGCTAGATTAAACTTCCGCGTTCGAGGTTACGCATTAAATAAGCAGGATTTCCACTGATTAAACACTTGGTGTTAAAACTAGCACTAGTTTATTAAGTTTAAAGATGCACAATTAGTCAAAACTGAATAAGTTATGGACAACATTCTCAAAACGAGGTATCTAGATCACAAAGGAAATGGGTAAGAGAATGATGTTAGTTGCTATGGCACAAAAACTTATTTAATTCTACGAGTATACAAGTTCATATTCGCGTAACTTCAAGTTTTAACTAGAAATAAATATTCAATGTTATATTGGATAATTTTTTTCAATGAAACTTGTAATGCATTTCTTATATCGATAGTCAAACACTAGCACCAACTTCGTCCGTCCGCCATCAAATTATCAGTCAGTGGCAGTAGAGTAGACCAATACTGTGGACCAATAGTTGCATGGAATAGGAATAGGATAGAGCGAGGAGCAAGCGATGAAATAATTTTCAGATGTTCGGTAGGTAATGTCATTATCGATGTACAACTGTCGCTGTGATTATTTGATACATTTTACTAAAAATAAGGTGAAATAAATCGATAAAAAAAACCCGGTCAGGTACGAGTCGAAGCCGTGCGCCGAGGGTTCTGTACCCACTGTATTTTACGTAGATTTTCGCAAAAGTTTGTAAGTACCAAAACTTATCTTAATTTTCAACTTTTTTTATTTTTTGGATTATTCCTTTATTTGTGCTGTAAGACATTTCTTTTTGACAAATTTCGTGATTCTAGGTCAACGGGAACTACCATATAGGTTTTCGACCCAAAACCTATAGGATACTTCAATTTTGGTCAAAAGCAAGGTCTTACAGCACAAGTAAAGAGAAAATTCTGAAAAATAAAAAAAGTCGAAAATTAAGGTAAATTTTGGTATTTACAAGTTTTCGCGAAAATCGAAATTTGAGCATATTTTTTTATTGTGTTGACTCAGGACCTTGATTTTTATATACCTAATATTCCATACCATAGACCTCATTATCTGGTATAAATGTCAACTTGCTAGGTCTACCCGTTCCTGAGAAAATCGGTGGTGACACACGGACAGACAGACAGACGGACAAGAAAGTGATCCTATAAGCGTTCTTTTTTACCTTTTGAGGTACGGAACCCTAATAATGAAATGTCCATAATAAAATAAATTACAGAGTGAATAAATAAGTAATAAATGTTATTTTGTTAAGGAATGTTTACAATGTTACGATGAGCGGTTTCAAACCTAAACAATTAATAAAAACGTGATTACTTTTAATGCAATGATCAACCTTACATAATTAAGTAATGAAGATAAATTATCAAATTATTAATTAATTCTTCAACTTCAACTTTTGGTTAATGGCTAGAGTGTAACCACAATTTCGCCAATGTCATGTATTTGAAAGACAAACTGTCAAAGGTAATTAATTCTTTTTGCGGGAAAAACTTGCAAACGAGTAGTAATTATATTTTTAAATTGTCAATATTTAAAGTCAGTTACAAGTTTAAAACAAAACCAGTCACTAACTCGTGATGACAATAATGAATAAAAACTGTAAGAGGAGAGATTCCAAACACGTTCTCTTAAAAAATATGAACAGTCCCGCTAATTCCTGCTCTATAGTCTGTTTAAGTAATGGCCAGCCTCAACTAAAAGCACTCGTTGACGCATATTATACAACACACTTCAGCCTTTTTCCATGTCATGCTTATTAAAGGGCTTTTGACTTGTCTCACACACTATCCAAATAGAATTTATAGAACATTTTGAATAGATTAGATTTGTTAGCATGGTACTAGATGACAAAAATATCACATAACATGCTATGCGACTACTAAAAGGCTCACTTTTTGTTATAAGTATTAGTAGTATTTGTTTTAATAAGTACTTTTCATTTTGTTTGTATTTTTTTGGTTAAATAAGATCATAAACGTTTACTTAATCCTAACCCAATAAAATAAGAGGACTGAAGAATCAATTTTTTTTTTTATTAATTGTTTTTATTTTATTGTTCTAAATCTGTTGGTATCGTATGTTGTCATACTAGTTAGATGAAATTAAATTGTTTATGTGAAGAGTGTTTTACTTTATGCACTGTGTAACACTAGGTGGAAGGAATCAGTGTAAAATAAAACTAATTAGTCATACTAATAACAAACAAAAATATCGACATGTCGATAGATTACTGTAATTTGCTTTGGTTCTGATCTCTGTGCCAAACACGGTTATTTTTACGGATACTATCATTTTATCAATCATATTAATTTTCTTCATTGTATGTTTATTTTTACATGTACAATGTAAATTTTTAAATAATAAAATTAAGTATTATTGAACTACCAGTGTTTGCCCGTGAAATGATACTTTATTTAAACTGTTGCCTGATATTATACCAAATTGTACCGCGTTATTATTTATTTTTATTTATCTGTTTAAATATAGAAAGATTATGGAAAACAGTAAACCAAACTTCATATATTTTAGACAGGAGACTATTGGAGACAAAAAATTAAACGTGATTTCACGATCGTGACGGTTCGGTGACTTCTTCGGAAAAACTAAAGATTTAAATATGTGAAATAAAAACAAATTAAGTTGTAGAGCAACTATCGGCAACATACCCAGAAGGACTATACTATTTACCTTTAACGTGCCTAACATCGTCCCTGAGTAACCCTCAAGCCTTACAGTTTTGAGTACCCAGTTTTCGTCTTGCGACCAGCGAATACCTACTTCCATAGCCATAAGTAGGTAATCCAGATACTCCCTCATTAACTTGCTCTTAAACATAGATAGTCTGGTGGAGTTCGTATACTCTAAGGAAGGTTTGATTCATTATCAGTAATATGGCTATTTTTGACATTTAGCGCAAAATCTTGGTAACTGATCGATTAAAAGGCCCAGCAAAGTTTTACAACATTATTATTACCCACCCATGACATAAACTTCTTGAAGGCTTAATTGAGACGGAAAAAATATTTAGACTCGGCCCTTGAGCTCATCAATAGGTATATGGGGATTGGATACCGAAATCGTTGTATAATAATTTCGGCTTATCGTTTAATCGTTAAGAACTTCAAACTACAAATTAAAAGGATCATATTAAACGCTTGGATTGGCAGTCTTCCTTGAGGTGTCTCAGGATCCATTTTAACCTCTGAAAACTTGGTCCAATCATCAGGTTTTGAATGCCCGGTAGAAAACTAATTCTTTTAATTTAAAAAAATATTTAAAACAATAATGTCACACATGGCTGTCTGATCCCAAACTAGTCTTTGTTGGTAGAGACAAAATATGAAGTAAGGGAATGTAAGGGTATTAATAATAAAACTTATTGACACATTAATAACCTTTCATTAAAACCTTGACTTAAATTCGAAAAAGAAGACACCGTAATCTACCGTGTTTCTAACATGGTAACACTGCATTGCCGAATGAGCGAGTTGGAGACACTGACACTAGAGATGGACATTTAAAATATACATCGATGTTTTTTTCGATGTAAATCATCGATCGGTCACATCGATGGTAATACGATGTATTGAGAAATACATCGATGTTTCTTTAACATCGATTATTTTCGCCATGACGTGTTTTAGGTTAAGTTAGGCCAAAAAAAAAAAAAAAAAAAACGAATAATACGAGTCGAACGACCTACAGCGTTCCAACGGGCAAATTAAAAGAACCCTGTTCAATAAACTATAGCTATTTGGCGGCTATACAACACTATACTCATTCATAATTTGCTTGGTCGATGCATCGAATAAAAAACATCGATATATATTCGATGTTGAAGTATTAACAATACATCGGTTTAATACGATGCATCGTTACTATACATCGAGTGTTTTAAATAAATCGATGTATATCGTCCATCTCTAACTGACACTGTTTCATGTTATTCTGTCAGGGACAGAATACCTACACATTTTCGCGAGTACTTTTGCTTTTGATTCTGAATAATTTGATGTGTGCGTTTCGAATCAAAAATGTTTTTCGATTTGTGTATCTTAAGAAATAAGTAAATAACATCAAAGACATGGACCGAGCACCGAAAAATGCAGTGATAAAGGAATAAATATTAATAATATTTGTGTGTTTTCATAAATGTATGTGGGAGTATCAGAATGTGCAGTAAAACGGGCACTATATTATTTTGCTCACTATTTTTATTCGTATCATCTACACGTATAAAGGGTACATTTTCGACAGATAATTTTTTCAAGTTCCTGGTGAAGTTTGGTTTCCAGAAAACTGATATTCATTTTCAAAAGGAAACATATGGTTATATTTTCGGTAACATAACATCGAATGATAATTTCAAATATCCCATAACGTTTGCTGTACTAGACCGAGTACACTTTTTACACTATTATAAAAATCGTCATATTGTTGATAAAGAAATAGCATGTCAAGTTATGTTCGAAAACTTAAATAGAACTGCATATCATCCAAAGTGTAATGCTTATGGACAAGATTTGTTTAGAAGAATTCCATGTCCAAAAGGTAAACTATGCGTTGATGAGGATACACCATGGAATGTTGTGAAGAAAAACCAGTTTACTTATGTTATTCAAAATTCTGGACAGCCGAGGTAAGCAGTACAATAATACATGTATAAATATTCAATATCATATTACATATTTCATTTTACAAATTTTGTATGTATTTGCATAGTATATTACTATTAATAATAAATTCACACATCTCACACACATATTATCTCACTATGTTCCTTTCATTCTTTAAATATTTTCCTGAATATCTTGTGAACAGTATTTTTGTAGACTATATTGTAGATTATGGTTATGTGAATTAGGCATTACAATGCCAATATGTCATATAAAAGATTTGTTCCTGGACAAGTAAATATTAAAATTTGTATGATCCTTTATCTATTTTCAATCCTGATTTTTTATCTATTTTCAATATTAATACTTAATGTTAATTAATTATTAAAAAATGTAGATGGTATGATATATATTTGAATTGTTATTCTTAAACTTTCACATGATTAGGCATTGAATTTAATAACTTTGTTTTCATAAATTTTATTTGAACATTTGTATTATTTCTTTTCACAGGTTTTGGTATGTGTCCATGGTGTCGTGTTACTTAGATGAAGTAACATGTACCTGGCATCACTACAAAGGCGCTGCTATGAATGATAATACCACTTTAACCAACAAACCTCATACTGTACATTATGATTTCTGGCTGGTTAATGGAAATCCAAACTTATCATTTTACAATACACTGTTATATCAGTTTTCATTTGACAGACAGAATACCCTTGAATTGTATCTAGTATTTTGGCTGTGTTATATTGTTTTACTGCCAGTACAGATATATGCAGTCAGGTAAGATTAAATTGTTTTTCAATATCAGTAGATAACTACTTTTTACACATCATTTCATATCTTTTTTCTATTGCTGTTAAACTCCTCTGATATGAATTTATATTACAGCTAGATATTGGGCAGTTTTCAGTTGTATATGTGTATAGGTGAAGAAAGTTTGAAACACCTTGAGAACAAAAAATATATGTTTTTGGAAATCTTGTGCCTAAAATTTCTTAGAAAATAAACATCCATTTCTAGTTTTTTATAGCTACTTGTGATAGGAAGACAGACTCTATTATGTGTACTTATCTTTTGAAAAGCATCATCATTACAGTGTTGGGTCAGTTTTTGATATTGTGCAAACTAAAAAAGTTTGAATACAAGACTGTAAATTTCTAATTTCTAAAATAGAAATAAATGTGTTTTAATGAAATACTGTTAGTATCAATGTTTGTACTGCAAAATTATTACTAGTTAAGATATCTGTGTGTAGTATATAGTAATAAAATTCAAAATATAATATTTTATTTATTTCAGGTTGTTTATAGCAAAATATGTTATTTTGCTATAAACAACCTGAAATCTGACGATGCAAAATTAGGTCTAAAATCAAATTCTTAAGGAAATTCGTGGATTAGGAGCTGACTTAGAACCTAGTCCAATTTAAATTTACGTAAACACAACTCAGTGCATTCACTGCATATGAGTAAAACTGTATCTATTTGAGTTCTTCAAGCAAGGTAATATTTCATATTCTCTCGCTTGAAGAGCACCGCCCGGGCGATACGAAGTTCAAACCTTCAAGAAGCGCCGGTAAACCACTTGCGACTTTTGAAATTGTCAATGGTCGGTGGTTTTCACTTACCATCTGTTGTCACGATTGCTCGTTTGATTAAAAGCAAGTGATGACTATGAAAATATTAAGGACTTATTGGTGTGTATTTTAAATACCATAATTAGGTTGATATAACGGATTATTTTAGATAAGTCCGTTTCGAGAAGCTATTAAAATAGTATTAGCCACTTTTCATCGTCATCTCAGTCGAAAGACGTCCATTGCTGGACATAGGCCTCCCCCAAGGATGGATTTCATAGCAAACTTTTTACAAAAGCTACATCTATACAAATGTGATTTAATGTAATTGTGTTGACATTTTTCTTATATTAACCCTACTAAACTAGTGCCTTTATGGTTTGTAAATACTAGGTATCAACCAAAGGAAAGAACCACAGTTATTATCCCACTGTCAAAGCCTTGGCTTAGTTTATCTTGCATATTTTTTTATGTTAATTTTATTAATTTTGACATTAATGTTTCACAGGACACAGAAACATCCAGTTACAAAATTATTTACATTCAGTTTGGTTCTGGAGTTTGTGGCACTCTGCTTCAATGTTCTGCACACAGTGAAATTTGCTGCAGACGGAGTAGGTTTTGCTAGTCTTGCTGCGGCTGGTGATGTCTTAGATATTATGAGCAGAGTGAGTATCATTTCTTAGTACATTTATGTATTAACGTTTGAACTTTTTCGTTCCATGATATTATTGCGCTTTTCAAATGCACCTTACATGAAACTTTTTGCCCCGCATAACCAATCACTGGAACAAATTGTCACCAACGATATTTACGTATCGATACGACATCTTAACCATAAAAAATGTGTACTTCAATCTCAAAGGCATAATAAATTAAAATGTATTTGTAAAGTAAATGTAAGTTGTTTTAAACTTATTGTTTATTTATAGCTTTTTAAACATTCCAAGCAGACAATTATTATTATTATTGTTTATTCTACAGACATATTTATAATGTTTAAAACATTCCTTCTTTTTTAGTTTTTAGACCCTGTTGTGTTAACTCCATAAATGTTATAGGAATTATTATGTACTAAAAGTGTATATCCTCTGTCAATACTGACAAACAGTAATCTAACACACTAACACAGAGAATTCTATCACTGCACTTGGTATTTTCTTTGGTTCTATTTTTATTCAATGGTGCTGCTGATGCAATAGAAAACTCATAAAATGCTTATCTGATCACAAATTGCATAATACTTTATCAGGTGACTGTACTTACTTATTAGTTACTGTAGTTAGTTAAAGTTAAATGATTAGATACAAAGGCACAAGTAGGTACATACTGTATATATTTCTAATTAACATTTTGAATGCTGATTTTGAAAGTATAAATTTGAACCTAAGTTTTCAATACAACTTACTTAATTTGAGATACGGAAAAACAAGGCTTTTTCTGGGCAACTTCACTGGCATCAAAGTGTTGTGCTATTTTTTTTTTCACTGCAAAAACCACCCATATAAACTATGAAAAGTCAACAACTTCAAAAAGAAGTGGCTGGAGGTCGAACTAATCAACCTAGGACCAGTTATATTATTACACATTTGACATTACATATCCAAGTATTATATATTATAATTGATAAAATTTTGTGTTTTGTATAAGCCCTTTGTTTAAGGAATTTTATAGGCTATAAAGTTAATCTATAAGATCAGAGTGGTAAAGATAAATTTCATTCAACCTGATAATCTGATGCCAAGTATTCGAATCTCGATACGAAGGTAACGATAACAATTAGTTAAAAAAAGAAGAATCAGCAAAAGTGTTTTATACAATTTATTGTCATCATCAGCCTATCGTCGTTTACGGCTCTCAGGAAGATGTTAGGTATTTTGTTACGGCAGTAGACCTTGGCTTTTATCTAAGATCGCTTACAATAAACAAAGAACAAACAGCAGGAACGATTTTGTTAAAAAGCAACAAACATTAAGTGTGTTTAAAAGTAAATGGATGTACTTGGAATAAGATCCCGTATTACGTAAACTATTAAGACAAAAGTCACATAGAGCACTTGACGATGGTGTAAAAGTTCAGTAAATTGTAAAAGTTTTTCAATTGTTTTCAGGTAATATCTCATTAACTCGTGTTAATTAAACATTAAGATTGTTAATTTTGACAAAAATTCCACAGGTCCGATATTGTTACTATTACAAAAAAAAAAAGACAAAAAATGGTCCTTACTTTTTCGTGGTTGTCTAAACCACGAAAAAGTAAAATATTGTGATTGGTGATTTTTAATTATTGTTCAAGACTAAATTATTTACGGACATCTGACACAACGCTATCTACTTTCAAACTAGGCAGAGTTTGTACTATGAAAGCTAAATTGACTGATAGAATACTTATGTTATACCTACCTTTTTTTTGTAAATACGTGTATTTTAAGTTACGTTTTTATATGTTAACTTATCAAAGTTAATTAGTTGTATGTGAATACTTGTAATTGGCCATCACTAGCTGTTATTAATAAGTACACTGCCCTTTTTAGCTAAGTTTTCCAAACATAATAAAATAAAATAAATAAATATTATACATGGAAAACACCCAAACTCCGAAACACTAAACTATGGTCTTATACATATGAATAATCAATTTCGTGTCAATTTTGTCTTCCAACGTGCTTTTAATAATAATAAAATAAATATTTCCAGACTCTCTTCATGCTGCTCCTTCTTTTGTTAGCAAAAGGATGGGCGGTAACGAGACTTGAGCTAACGTACAAACCGCTAGTATTTGGAGTATGGTTGGCGTATGGCATCGTACACATTTTACTTTACGTGTGGAATACGGTGAGTTTTTAATTATTCGTGTTTCTAACATATTTATTCTTGCATTTTACGTAATCTCTTAGAATTTTATTAGTATTAGTAAATTCAGTGGGCATTTTTTGTGTTATACCGTTCCCCGGAATCGCCCCGTCATCCAGTACATAGTGATTTCTTCAATCAAACATTAGTTTACCTTTATTCTAATAGAATTCTGATAAAGGATGTAGCTAAGTAGTAAGGTGTTGTTTATGTTAATAATTGTACAATGAAGTGATTATATCGTCACACAAGGAACTAATTATGACATGTACTGCTGATTGTAGACAGAAGTGGATATAATAGAAGAAATTGATGAATACCAGACTTGGCCGGGCTGGTTGATCTTGGCGCTTCGCGTAGCTATAATGACGTGGTTTGTGCTGGAACTACGTAATACAATGATGTACGAGCACAATATGCCGAAGCTTAACTTCTTGCTACACTTCGGTGCGTCGAGCCTCGTCTGGTTCGTCTACCTCCCCATCATCGCGCTTATTGCGCTACAAATAAGCCCTTTATGGAGATTTAAATTTATCTTGGGTAAGTGTTACAGTTTTGTATTATGTAAGCGATTGCGAGTAGTTTTACGCAATCGTTACAAGAAATGAGCACAAAGTGAACGTACTGAATACCTGTCTTTAAATGCTAACCAAATTAAAAACAGGTATGCAGAATTCAGTTTTTACTGTTTGCAGATATTTCTTTATGTAACCACATATAGCAATATAAAATAGACTTTATAACTAGGCTTATCTTTAAAAGTATGTATATCAATGTAACAAACAAGTGATAGGCAGTTAGTAGTTACGAAATATTGTACATATAAATGGGATTGGATAAAGATTCTGTATGGTTAAAATTTTTTACGAACATTGAAACTTTACGTTTGTTTGTACAGGTCTTTCATATTTATAACAATAAATAAAAAATAATACGTAATATCTAAATGAACTGATGTGTGATGTTATCTATGAGTACATTCCGGTTGTTATTGATTCTGCATTGAAGTACGTAATCAAAGTGTGTATAATATAATTATAACGCTATACAGCCGGATCGATTTCTATTACATTGTGCTCGTGTTTTTTTTTAATGACTGTTCTGGACTGTTACCAGTTTGCTTGTGTGATAAAATTTCACTTTTAAAGACGCCAGTGTCACTGCTATATCTTCAGAGCACTTGACCTTTTTCAAGCCGATCAAGAGTTAATCTACAGTCTAGTAATTTAATTTATCAGCCTAGAATATGCCTAGAATGAATGATGATGTCAAAAGATGAGATGATGGCCAGATTTTCTGGCCGCTTACCATAACAAGATGCCGTTTGACCATAGAGGCTTTGGAAGGGAAGTTTATTAGCCAATGATAGTCATGGAATAAGTTACGACAAAACCAAGATGAGAAGACGAAGAGACTCTTCAATGTTGTATAATAGGCCGATCCCCTAATCTTACTGTAGGATCTTCACCACTCCTCAAGGTAAAGGTGATGAAGCTAAATTTTAATCGCAGACATACCACTTCGACGCCTTCGAGCCGTACGTCCGTCCGTGTGGCCTATAAATCCGGCTTTAAATATTGTATATAAAAAGATCATGTAGTAGTGTGTGATCATGTTGTGAATGTAGTAGTAACACTTCTCACCCACACCACATTAGTATCTACATTGCACTCGTGCGAAGAAGGGGCGGGTCGGGTAGTATTATTTCAACGGAGTCCCAGGACCGATTCTTGCGGAACTCCTGTTCTAATATTGTACAGACTAGATCTAGTCTGTACAATATTAGAACAGGACTTCCGCAAGAATCGGTTGTAAGGTTCGGTAATCGGTTAGGTTCTAAGGTTCTAAGGCATTTAAGATCTTAAATGCCTTAGAATCTGAACTTAGAATTGTCAGCGAGCGAATGATTAAAAACAGATTCAGTCATGAAATTTCCTTAAAAAATAACTTTCACGGAAGCGAAATTGCGGGCTAAAATGGGTTGCCATAATAATATTTTTAGACATCTGACACACAACGACACCTAGGTAGTTTCAAACTAAGCAGAGGTTTATTATACTATGAAAGTTAGATTGACTGATAGAATACCTACATATTTTTTTTGTAAATACATCTATACAAATAAATAAAATTGGAGTGTCTGTTTGTAATATTATAATAACCGCTTTTTACTAAATGCATATGTATGTTTACACTGTACATATGCCAAAATAACATTTTTTACAATTTTTGTCTGTCTGTTTGTTCCGGGTAATCCCTGGAACGGCTGGACTGATTTCGACGGGACTTTCACTGGCAGATAGCTGATGACATAAGGAGTAACTTAGGACTTTAGACTAGCTTCGCCCCACGGCGTTGCCCGCGGTTATAACAACAAACGCGGATAGCACCGCGGGTCTCAGCTAGTACATATTATACATAGAAAACACCTAAACGTCGAAACATATTTGCAGATCATGCAAACATTTGGTCCGACCCTGCAATCGAACCCGAGATCTCAGCACTGCTGTCGCGTACACTACAAATAGCTATAAGAAAGCTACAAATAAAGCTCACAAATGCTTTTTAAAGCACTCTCAAACTCATAGAGCACAACTCTATATTTTTTAGTGTCAAATAGTCTGATCATAAAAAATAACTTTATTGGTGGTATATAAAAAAAACTCACAAAAATATTATCGGGAACCGACAACGAAGATGCATATTATATTTTTATGTGGACACCTAGATATAATTATTAATATTGGAATGTTATAAGGATGATGTTTGTTTGTTTCCAGGTATCACTTATTCAGCAGACTGTCTCGCATTTTGTGTGATGGCGCACTTGCTATGGCCCACGCGTTCGGAACAGTACTTACTACTAGCGCCCTCTGACTACACAGGTAACAAATATTGTATTAAAATTTAATCGATGAAACCAACGATAGCAAGCAAGCATATTAAAATTTTACGCTTCGGTACCGACCCGATTCGGTAAATATTTTTCTATTGTGAAGATACATACGGAAGACGGGTTGATCCATACTTCCAAATCGGTTGATCGTAGTAGTATTTACGTGCTCCAATACTAAATTGATCTTGTGACGCTATAGTGAGAAATACCTGAAATACCCTTTACTTTACCTCTTGTTCATATTGTAATGTTTTATTTTAGTATACAATATATATGCATCTTCTTCCAGCGGGCATCGAAGAGCTAGATGAATTCAACGAGTCACCTCATGTAGTACATAGCGACACCGTTGCACTAACTACCGCAGAATCCATCAATGCTGATGATGAGGAGGTCATCTTCACGCGAGCAGCACTTAAAAATGGCTCAATATACTCATAGCAATGCGAAAAATCAACTTAAAAGATTTAGAAAACTTTATGAGGATTCCCTGAGATCCCTCTTCGATACTATGAATTTAAAGCGATCAATTTAGTATTGTTAATTATAATATTCATTGCACAACTATGAGAGTTGATGTCGACTTTTAATTATAATATTATTAATAACAATGGATGTGTGTTTGTGAGAAAAAGATAAAATTTATGAAACCTAATGAAAAAATCTAATAGCGAATATAATTTTTAAAGTGATCGAAGTTATGTTCGAGCATTTAGTATTCTAAATCTTAGTATCGTAAATATTTAAGAATTAAAATGACCGAAAAAGGTTGCGGTAATCTATTCTATATTTTATATTCAAATACGAATAGATTCCATGCCAAGTGACCATTATTGGTGTCAATTAACAATTTTATTTTCTGTTGATAAGACACTTGAAGTAAAATAGTATGAGAAAGTTAAAATGTGCCAACGATTGATCTATAATGAAATTGTGTGAAGATACTTACAATTATATGTATTCGTAATCACTGTGTCTTTGTGAAAAATGTCTGAATTTACCAAATAATTTAAGAAAAAAAACGAATGTTGTTAACAATTGCTGTTAAAGTCTTACGAAAACTTATATTTGTAATTTGTTTTTGTTCTCAAGTTGATCTTATTTCTTGTTTATTTGCTCTTTGGTACATATAATTTTATGTACTTTGTATTAATTGGAGTAATATGATTTGTTAGTGTCTGTGCAGTACAGAGTAGATTTGATCCAATTGTAGAAGCTAGAATGTATTATCTAATTGTTTACTTATCGTACTCCTTTACGGATCCATAATGATATATATATATATATATATAACAGACAACCATTTATTAATACAAAGCGTTAGCTGATTATTACTAAAGTCCTTTTTATATATTTTAGAATGTGATCTTGTATCATATGATATCATAAATCATGCACTGATGAATTGGGTCGTCGTGATCAATTTTATCGCACACTTGTATGAAGGAAGTATTTTACAAACTATAGTTTTACTATTATGTCATGAAGTATTTACAAGTTTTGAAGCGTAGAATAATTGAGACGGAAATATGTTAACTTAATGTACATGGAAGTGGTTCGAATTAAAATATTTGTTGCATTGCCGTATGTATAGGAAAATACCAAAACTTGGTAAGAGTGGATTGAAAAGTTCTTGGCCCTACCATGAGAGCTACATTCACTGCCAAGGTTAAACATTTGTTCAATGATCCCAGTTTAACTTTTATATCAATTGAACAATTTTCTTCAAGCTCCTTAGTCACGTATAGAATTCATTTTTTTTTTAATTTTATCCTGCTTCGATTGTTCAAAACCGGCAAAACAGTAATTGAACGGGGAAGTAATTCAAACGCGCAATTTTTAATATTCAACGTATTTTTCACACCTTGTTCGCAACGACCACACGAGCATTTTCCGCCCGAAATAATGCTCTTTTCTTGGAATTCTCGCAAATAATAATAGTATTATTTATTTTTTGTTACTTAAATACACATTTCGTCTTCGGCCAGGCTTGTGTTTCACGTCACCAGGTTTCAACCCTCTTACATTTTTATTTTCTATATTATGTGCAGTAGTATATAGTAGTGGTAATATAGTATAAGCAAGGAATTCATGGTTTGGCTCTTTTTAAGATAATGCTTCTTTTGCATGCTATCCATTCGTAGGAGATGCCTACCATTTTAACCAACTTTCTAAATTTCAGTTTTGGGTTGCTTTTATTAATAAATAACTAGCCTATTTTTCAGAAATATTTAAGATACACGAACAAAAATAATCTTAAAAGAGTATCATTTAAGCTGCACGTCTCAATGATTGTATATTGAATGTTTAATGCGTAGTTACATAAGTAGTCACTTCGACGTCAAACCATAAAATTTTCAATCAACCCTCATATTTTGGATGTGTATATTTCTGTTAACATTGTCATTACACAATTACCATAATTTTGTTGGAGTGGAAGTTAGTAACTATTACCCGTATATATACTCTGTCGCGGCTATGTCTGACGGCTTAGCCATAAGTCATCTCGGAATAGGTTTGCTATCGTAACATCAAATTTTAATGTAAAAGAATCGTGTACACAAAAATGTTAAAGTACAACAAGATCTCAAATTGGTGTTATTGTGGCGTTATCAATAGAGTTGAATATATTTTTATCAATGTATAAAATTATTTGCTTTGATAGTAATTGAATTAGTTTATTTAGAACATTAGATTAATGATTGTCTTTATTAGGCATTTAAAGAATTTTAGACAAAATGTACTTACTTTAATTTCTTTAGGAATTATTAGATTATTGAATTATAGCAACACATGAGCTCTGTTAAATTATTGTTATTTTATTTGAAAGCTATTTTTGATTAAATTGAGCTCATTAAATTTATCGTTTTACAAGAGTTAAGTGTGCACATAAAATGTCGTTGTTAAAAAAACAATTTTTATAAATATGAAATAAAAATGAGGAATGATAGAGCGTTATTCAATTTTGATTCTCAATATGTTTATTGTGTGTTTGTAAATTGGTGTCGCCAATGTCATTGAGTTATAAGAATATTCCTAGACTGGTTTACGAATTTTGTATTTTTGTTAACAATATTAGGATGTCGCAATTAAGAAATGTATGTTTAGTACAATTAATTACTATATAGATATATAGATAGTTGCAACTCAAATATTTGAAACTATCGTAAGCCATACTCTTTTTACAATTGCTTTGATTTTCAAATGTAGAAAAAGTATAAGGAAAACACAAGTATGATTTACCACAAACAAGTATAAAAAGTTCTCTATTTATTCTTATTTGTTGTAAATCATAATAACACTTATTATGATTTACTACTTTAATTTTTTAGAAATTTAAATTCTACAATACAAAATATTATAATTAGGTCCTTACTTATGAAAGTCAAAATATTGCTACTGATATTTCTATTAAAAAACTGTTATCACAAACACGCGAACTTTTTCAAACTATTACTAAAAATGAAATACTACGCTGTTCTTAGCATAGTACTTAATTTTTAATGCCCATACCATAAACGTACCATCATATACCAATAATAGACAATTATAAACCAATACTTTCGATTGACTGATTACATGCTTTTCCGAATAAACAGGTGATGACTTTTAAATTAAATTAATTAAATTTAAATTAAAAGGGGTAATTTCAAAGAGAAGGGTCTAATATGACTATTGTGTACATAATTACGTAAAGCGTAATTTTTTATCTTAGTCTTCTTTATATGAATACTGATTGATTATGGTTACATATTTTACATTTCTAATGACATATTTACATTTTTAACTCGTAAATAGCATTTGTGGCCAAAATATGCTAAATAAAATCCAACCTACCATGGTAACTAGGTACCTGTTAACTGTATATTTCATTTTAATATGAAAAAATAATGTAAAATATGTTTTTATGTGTTTACGTAAAGTTCCGAACTGGAGTATACCTTATAGTATTGTTTTAAATATGTTTCGCACTGCTTATCACCTATTCAGTGTGATCTCCACTTTTGTACGTAGTGTTGTATAGTTATTCCAAAGCCTATGTGGATGTAAAAAATAAATGTAAATAAATTTTCTTATTAAGTGAAAAATACATTTTTCATTTATTTTTGTTGACGGGGTGGAATATTCCTTCGCATTTCCGGCTCCTGACCAGACTTGATCGCCCTACGCGAACTTATTTGCACCCCCTCTTTCTTGCAAAGAAAATCGATGTAGGTATACATACAGTAAGTAATGACTTTAATTATAGGAATAAGTGTTCGGGACACTAATGTAGCACAGTCAGCATGCAATTGCATCCACGTGCACAGATGCTAACAGTTATTGCACTGATAGATTCCATTTAAGAAATTTTGATCGCAAGAATGAGTTCTGTAAACGAAAATCAGTAAAGCGTCAACACGTGTTGTGATAGCGATTTATTGTCGCTCATTGGAAAATTAAAAAAAAAGCGTGTGTGTAACAACGCTTATTCGCAATCTGAATAACGGACCATCTCAAAACTACAGGACGGAACGACCTGAAACCTACCGTAAGAGTGGAAACACCCGTCACTAACCATACTCACCAGGATTTCATTCTTCATTGATTTTCATGTTTTGTTTGGTTGAAAAAACGAAAATTAACAATTACCTAGTTATTAATAATATCATCTCTTATTTTAGTATTAATTTGTCTCTATAAAAATTATATTTACAAATGACAAGTGATTAAAGAAAAAGTATTTTTACAGTTAAACTGCCGTAAGCTTGGCCCTCCTGATGATTTGGGGGACTTACGGCGGTTTAACTATAGTGCTTATAAGAACGGAAACGGTACCTCTCAGATTAGTGGATTATAATTTAATCGAGAAATTATTATAATCCAATATATTTATAATTTTCAGTACTTTTGAAAAAACATCGATGTTTTAATTATAATATGATTTATTGTATCGATTCTTTGATACTTAAAGTATCGATACTTTTTTGAGGTAATAATGAAGATCATGGCCAATTCGCCCTAGCCGTGGGTGGCTAGCTGCTCACAACGGGAAAGAAGACCACCCGTACTCCTACTGTAGTTTAAATAAGGAGGGCACCAACTTTTTCCCAGTGTAGGTGCGACGCGCAGCGATCTCGATTACCGTGACAGTCTTCTTACTAAAATATACGTATATCTAAGTAAGTTTAAAAAAAAGAATAATATTTTCTTGGTTATCTTTTGATTATTTGTTTGAAATTATGTATTTTTGACCAAAGACCTAATAAATGAAAAAATATTTTTACTTGGTAAAGTGTTATACCTTTACTCATGAATTGTCATACTTTTTTTTTTCAATTTCAAAGTACTCCTTTCTTCTCCTTGTTCAAGTACCTATTATTTATTTCAAATAACTAGCAACACTTTGATCTGATTTTTGAACCCAATCTTTCTTGACATAATTTTAACGTTTTGCCAGT